GAGCCCCAACCCAGATCTCCTCACCCCCACCTCCCCTCTCCTTCGGCGATGGCAGGACTGCTCTCGTGTGGCGGTGGCTTTCTAGATCGCGGATTTGATGGCGGGCGCGGCTAGGAGGGATCTGGCGTGGCGTGTGCCGGCGAGCTAGTCGTCGGCCTATGCGTGACATGCGGCGTTCGAGCCGTTCGCTCCCCTCCGACAGGCCTTAGCGAGGTGGCGGCCCCTTTGTCGCCGGATCCGGCTAGTTCGGCCGTCTGGCTCCATGGGGCGGCTGCTCTCGTTCGGGAATCTGCTGCTCGATGATGTTTGCTTAAACTACGTCGACATTTCCCCAAAGATGAAGGGATGATGCAACACAGCAATGGTAGGTATTTCCCTCAATGATGAGATCAAGGTTATCGAACCAGTAGGAGAACCACACAACACAACCTAAACAGCTCCTGCACACAAATAACAAATACTCGCAACCCAACGTGTTAAAGGGGTTGTCAACCCCTTTCGGGCAACGGCGCCAGAAATTGGCATGGAGACGGGATAAAGTTGTAATAGATTGGATAAATAGATCGCAAATAAAATAAAGTGCAGCAAGGTATTTTTGTATTTTTGGTTTAGTAGAACTGAAAATAAAAGCAAAGGAAAATAGATTGCAAAGGAAAATATATTAAAGAAGAGACCTGGGTCCATAGGTTTCACTAGTGGCTTCTCTCGAGAAAAATAGCAAACTGTGGGAAAAAATTACTGTTAAGCAATTGATAGAACTTCAAATAATCATGATGATATCCAAGCAATGATCATTATATATGCATCACGTCCAAGATTAGTAGACCGACTCCTGTCTGCATCTACTACTATTACTCCACACATCGACCGCTATCCAGCATGCATCTAGTGTATTAAGTTCATGGGAAAACAGAGTAACGCAATAAGAACGATGACATGATGTAGACAAGATCTTTTTATGTAGATATAGACCCCATCTTGTTATCCTTAATAGCAACAATACATACGTGTCATTTCCCCTTCTATCACTCGGATAAAGCACCGTAAGATCGAACCCATCACAAAGCACCTCTTCCCATTGCAAGATAAATAGATCAAGTTGGCCAAACAAAAATACGAGGCTATAAGTAATCATGCATATAAGACAATAAAGAAGACTCAAATAAGTTTTATGGATAAAATCATAGATCTGATCATCAACTCAAAGTTCATCGGATCCCAACAAATACACCGCAAAAAGACTTACATCATGTGGATCTCCAAGAGACCATTGTATTGAGAATCAAGAGAGAGAGAGGAAGCCATCTAGCTACTAACTACGGACCCGTAGGTCTACAAAGAACTACTCACGCATCATCAAAGAGGCACTAATGGACATGATGAACCCCTCCATGATGGTGTCTAGATTGGATCTGGTGTTTCTGGAACTTATGGCGGCTGGAATTGATTTTCGTCGACTCCCCTAGGGTTTCTGGAATATTAGGGTATTTATAGAGCAAAGAGACGGTGCATGAGGCCACCCAGGTGCGCACAACCCACTTGGGCGCGCCTCGGGGCCCAGGCGCACCCTGGTGGGTTGTGCTCCCCTCGAAGCACCCCTCAGGCACTTTCTTGGCCCATACGGTGTCTTCTGGTCCAGAAAAAAATCCACAAAAAGTTTCGCTGCGTTTGGACTCCGCCTGGTATTGATTTCCTGCCATGTAAAAAACAATCAGAAAATAACAACTGGCACTGGGCACTATGTCAATAGGTTAGTACCAAAAAATGATATAAAATGACTATAAAATGATTATAAAACATCCAAGAATGTAATATAACAATATGGAACAGTAAAAAATATATAGATACGTTGGAGACGTATCACCCGACGCAGTTGCGGTGCGGGGTGGTGCGTGCGGAGCAGGCCTTCCCTGTAGGATTGTACTTCCCTGTATGGAGGGTTGTACTTCCCTGTAGGTTTCGGTTGATGGTGGCTCGAGGTTGCCGGATCCGGAGAAGACAGAGGTTGGTGGTGTAGGATTGGGACCGGAGGAAACTTTGGTCGGTTGGCTCGGCAGTGGCCACGTCTCTCGGTATCATTTTCCTCCTTGGAGGCACAGTCGAGGTCCCTCCTATCCACACTTGATCACCCTCCCGGACGAAAGTCCAAAATCCGTCTTGGATTGGGCGGCGGCGGTGCCATGCGCGTCGTACCCTCCATGGAGGCGCCGTCTTCGGAGGCTTGGGCCTGAGGAAAAGGGTTGACGTAGGCGGTGGGCTCCGTGTGACAAGGTATTGAGCGAGAATGGTGGGTGGAGGTTGGCAGCTAGAGCGGTGTGGCATCTACCGCATCGACGATGACGGGTCTTGGTGGCACGGTACAACTGATTCTCGATGACGGATGCGTCTAGATGGACGAGCTCAAGGTGGTGGGAATATTTGGAGACGCATTGGCGTCACGGATGGCCGGCTTGGCTAGGATGATGTGGATCTCCTTTCTGTAGATGGTCAGTTGTTCAGTGGTAATGGTGGCTTCCAATACGTGTGCACGCGGTATACACTTTAGGTCTGCTGGATCGGGTGCAGGCTCCTGATACATCATGCGAGCGGATCGGCGATGGCCTCGGTTCTAGATGGTGGGAGTTAGAGCACTCCACATTATCGAGTTTGTAGGTGTGAGTGATGGCCTCTAGTGGTTTGATGTATGTTCTTATGAACCCATTGTTGAATAATTAAAAAAAGCTATGTGCATCTATTGATGCAAAGGTCGGGAGTTTCAACCTCCTTTTTTGAAAAAAAGGAAAAAATGGAATCCTCTGCTTCCCGACGTAGCCCCTCCTATAGTATTCACCCAAGGAGGTTGCCCCACCTTGCATCCCAACATAGATATGGTCTGTGACACAGCCCCCTCCATTCACCGTCCCATTCGCATCGACCCCCATCGAGTAATTTTGAAAATGGGGACCATGGGGATGTGTTGGAGATGCCTTGCCCTTGGTCATTTAGAGCAAAGGTGGAGGCATGACGAACTGGCGAGCGCATGGGTTGTGGTGACACATCACGACGATGCAACATGACGAGCGTGCGAAGCATGGTGACGCAGCACGACTAGCACATGGGTCGAACGCTACACCATGGCTACACGCCGATGGCGGAGAAGCTTGGTGGCGCTAAATCTGACATCAATGTGTGTTTTTGGGGTAGGGGTGGGGAGTAAGGGGGTGTTTGTTTCCAGGGACTTTTTGGTGTAGGGACTAGAAAAAGTCCCTATTAAAAACTTTTTAACAAACAGGAGGGACTACTAGGGACTAAAAGTTGCCTTTTGGGACTAAATAAAGAAGACTCTCAAGAAGAGTCTTTTTTGGGACTTTTTGGGACTTTTTTTAACAATGCCCCTTCCTGCACCCATTGCCCCGCTGCCCCATGGTGTTGTTTGGTTGTTATTTTTCTGTATACTAGGGGTAACATGGTCATTTAATAACCTCTAGGGAGGGAATAGTGACTTTTAAGTTCTTGGAAACAAACAGGGATGGACTTTTTAGGGACTAAGGACTTTTTTTTGTTGGGACTAGAAAAAGTCCTAGGACTTATAAACCAAACAGGGCGTAAGGCTAGTCATAGTAGGAGTAACTTAGGTAGTAACATAACATATCCCAAGACAAATTTGCTTATGTGGCATGGAGTTAATGAGGGGAGAGATGCTTGTGGTAACATAATATGTTACTGTAACATAACACACCCCGAGGAAGAATGAGTCTATGTCTCATTTAATAAAGGCTTGTATGTTACCATCCATGTGTTACTATCCATTATAAAGATAGTAACTTGGACTAGTAACATATGCATGTTACTAGTCTAAGTTACTCCCACTATGATCAGCCTAAGAAATAGGGTGAAGATCGGGGCAGAAATACATACAAAATATGGGTAGCATGCCGCAGGTGGTTCCAGCTACAAAACTGCCTAGAACACTTTCCAGTTGTAGGCAGTTTGGAACTTCTAAATGCCTCCACCTATTTCTACAAGCGGTACAATTTTGGAACCACCTTTGTTATTTTTCACTACACTAATGACCGCCACTGTTGGGTTATTAAAGGCGTCTTGTTATGCCAAGAACACAATCACTTCTCGGCGGCGCTTGTAATACCCGTTTTGTACTAGTTGCCCTAAGTTCAAAAACGGATTATATCTACAAATTTTCTTAGCTCTAAGAGGGTTTTTTTGGGTTTTCACTTGACTGGAGTTTTTTCTAATTATTCTGTGATTTTACTTTGAATTTACAGCAGTTGCGCATTTTACATCTAATGTATTCATATACTGTCGCTATTTATAATATTTGTTTTTAAAACTTTACTTGATTTGTTATAGTTTAAATTATATGCTAGTCACACATTTTGTACATTTCTGATTATCTAATGGATTTTGTGCAGGGCAACAAGTTACCCAGAAATTGTGGATCAAACCACCGTATATGTTTTGTCATTGTCTCTGAAGGACCGACTTGCAGTTTCGTTCCTTGAAGATAATAATTAATCCATCATCTTTGACCGCAGTTATATGACAGGTGGCCCTCGTGAGTCATGAATTGTAAATTTTAGTTCTTCTCTAGTTTGTAATTCCTCGCTTACATTGTCTTGCAGAGTTGGTCCAGTAGGAACAATAAATTTATTTGTTGTTGTTGTCGTTGTTGTTGTTGTTGTTAATCTTTATGTTTTAGATTGGCAACACATGTATAAGTAGCAACAAGATTAAAAATGCAAACAACACATTACACATACATCCAATCCCATCGGTGGATCCCATGCATGCATGCATACATGCGCATGCATTGACCCATTCATACACATATTGCCGGCGAGAACTACGGCGTGCACGGCAAACGTACAGAGTGCAACGTCGAGATATTCATGCAACAACTTCACACATAGTAAATCATAAAGTAACAGCCACATAGTACGTAATATATGTGGATCTGAAACCAACCAGGTAGGTTACGCATGTCGACGAACGATGGTGCTGGCCTAGGCTTGGACGTCGTGGTGGTTGGAGCCGAAGGAGTGCTTGGCGGCGCAGTTCCTGAGGACGTACTGGTGGTAGGCCATGGCGACGGTGGCGCCCGCCAAAGGCCCGACCCAGAAGATCCACTGATCGGCCCACGCCTTCTTCCCATTGTACACCACGGCGGCCCCAAGGCTCCTCGCCGGGTTGATCCCGGTGCCGGTGACGGGGATGGTGGCCAGGTGCGCCATCAGCACGGCGAAGCCGATGAGCAGCGGCGCCAGCACCGGCACGTGGGAGTCCCTCGCCATGCGCTTCGGGTCGGTCGCCGAGAACACGGTGTACACGAGAACGAATGTGCCGGCGGCCTCGGCCAGCAGTGCCCCCGCCTTGGAGTACCCCGGCGCGACCTCGTTGGCGCCGCCGCCGTAGAGCGCGTAGTGGTGCGCGCCGTGCACGGCCCTGACCATGGCGGCGCCGCAGATGGCGCCGAGGCACTGCGCCGCCATGTAGAGGAAGGCTCTGGGAAGCGAGACCTTCCTCGCCAACAGCAGCCCGAAGGTGACCGCGGGGTTGATGTGGCCGCCGGAGATGCCGGCGGTGCAGTAGACGAGGACGGCGATCATGCCGCCGAAGGCCCACGCGATGCCCAGCACGCCGGTGCCGCTGCACGCTTCGGCGTCGGTCTGGCGCTTGTGGCCGATTACGGTGGCCACGGCGACGTAGACGAAGAGGAGGGTGGCGGTGAACTCGGCAATGGTGGCCCGGTACAAGGACCACTTGCCCAGCTCGCCGGCGTCCAGCAGCGGCGTCGGAGGAGGGTCCAGGTAATCCTTGGTGCTCATGGTAGTATCGGAACTAAGGTTGGCTTCCGCACTCAGCTTGCCCTCTCCAGCTGCCATACCAATATCGATCGAGCTGATTATTCGAGAAGAAAAGATGAGCCGGGAAATTTGACTGATGGTTAAGGATCGATGAAGTGTTGTGTCCATAACTTGGCCAAGATGCATCCATATATATAGAGGAAGGCCACCATCATTGAGCATGCATATGCCTCCCCTAGCAATCACTATGCATACTGTAAAAAAAAGGAAGCACTAGTTACAAATTACAAGTGCCATTTACTCGTTTACAAGCCATGCCTTTTATGTTTTACATTCAAGATATAGTAATAATTCTACTCCCTGAAATTCACCAATAACTTGTTTTTTGGACATATCTTCAATCGGACCTTTTCAAATTTGGCTGGCAAATACTCTCCCCTTTCCAAAATATAAGACGTAAGTTAGACCCTTCTTTGCGAACCAACCTGTGGTTGAGATGGTTAGGTGGACAGTGGTATCCCCAGCCAACCAGGGTCCAACTCCTGTTTATATGAGCACTTGCGTCTGTAGTGTGTTCAAAAAAAAAAGTTAGACCCTTCTTTTAATTTTGACCAAGGTTATGGAAAAATGACCAGCAACTATATTACCAAATGACAGGTATACAAAACTTGATTTTGTAATATCATAGATGTTGATTTTTCTTTATATATAATCTTATAGCCTTGAAGAAAATTAAGGGGAAAAAAACTAAGATTGCACGCCTTATATTCTCGGTAATGTTATTGAGCCGACATTTTCTGGGACATGATGGTAAATCGAACATTTTTACGGCAATTTATATTGTCGCTGGGATTACAATTTTACTTGGCAAGCACGGCATATCCTAGCCAAAAATGAACCGGGCGGATTTGCCATCCTTGCTAACTAAAATTTTCATCCTTTGCCAACACAAATTGCCATGCAAATCATTCGCATTTTCCATGCACCCAGTGAGCGTTCGCTGGTTAAGCCGGTCCTATATTTTACAAAGAGCCAATTTTGTTTAGAAAAAAGTAAATTGTAAACCTCAAAGTAATATGTGTCGACACTAAAATATTTTAGAACATTATTAATAATTTCTTTAGATATTTATATATGCTACAGAAAATATATACTCCTGGCCAAAATTATATACTCTCTCCATGCCAAAGTGTAGTGCATATAGATTTTTTGAAAAGTCAAATCTCACCAAGTTTGTGGAGAAAAATAGTTACATCCAGAATGCCAAATATGTATTATTAGATTCATCATAAGATGTAGTTTCATAGTTCATATATTTGGTTGTAGATATAAATAGTTTTCTCTATAAACTTGGTCAAAGTTTACAATGTTTGACTTTTCCATAAATCTACTCGCTCCATTCCAACAAACAAGGCACACACGCATCCAAAAATTCATCTTAGACCAACCAAATTCAGATTATATGTGATAAAAATTATACCATTGGATTCATATTGAAAAGAAGCTTTCAATGGTATAAGTTTTAAGTCACAAATATATATATTATTGATCTAATTTAAGGTCAAAGTTGAATTTTGAAAAGTGTGTGCGCCTTATTCATTGGAATGGAGGGAGTACACGCACTACATTATGGAATGGGAGGGTAGTAGTCAAGATCTCACTTATTTACAAAATAGAGGGAGACCAAGCATTGCATTTTCGAGCAAAATAGTCATTCATGTAGGTTAGTTGAATTCAGCCGAATTTCGGAGATATTTGGCTCGAATGTGCCTTTTTACCCATTTTCCTCTCCTAGTTTAGTTTGTAGGACGTAGGCAATACATAGATCCACTTTGCTCAAATCAACATTGCAAATGACCTAGTTTCCAGTGACACTCGTGAAATCAACAACTACATTGAGGTACACTACAACACATATTCTAACAAGGGTCTTTTAGTAGAGACATTCCCAAATTGCCTAAAAATCATGGCACACAAACATTATGCATGAATCGCCTCAAAGTCTTCTAGTTTTGGAATTTTTTTCAAATGCTTCAAAACATTATTGATCTACACAAATGAAAATACAGAAAAAAAGAATCAATTTATCGAGAGTTGTTAGATGTAATTATGTAGACTGATACATGGAAATGAACGTCTATAATCATGCACCATATACGTAGGGGTTTGCGTCCAACCTCGTTAAGATTTTCTGGTATCAACATTACGATAGCTTGTCCTCATAGATCGATTACATCTTGGATTCCTAACTGGTATACAATTTAATTACGTGTGTAACTTTGGTGCAAATCGAGTTCTAGCTTAGTTGGTTAGTCTTCAACATTTGTGGTTGCAGTTTATTCGGGGATCTCGATGTATAGGGATGGTATATACCTTTCAGAGAAAGGATTGGATTGAAAACCCAGGGTTGTTTTAGGTGTTTGGAAAGGCCTAGTATATTCTTGCATGTTCTAGTGTTAATTATTGGGTCGCAAGTTTGTACATATTAAGTTTCTTGAATTGATTCCATGGGTCATGGCAGTTGGTCAGTTGTCATGCCAGTGCTAAACCCATATGTGTTCAATTTCAATAGAAGTCTAAAACCCATAATTTTGCTCAATTATAAGTTGAATTAGGTGTGCACGATCAAACATTGTTATGGTATCTTCTGACGCCAACTTACACATAGTTGAGTAATGCCAGACTCTAGTAGGGAGTAGTACATTATCATCAGGACACCCTAATCATTACAATACCTGACTGTGGGGCTATATTTGTCATGTACAGGCACATCACTAGACATATTGGTTAGTACATCCATTCCAACTAGCAACAAATTAATTAATATTCTGATAAGGCACTCCCTCCATATAACACTTTTTGACACCATGATAGTGTCAAAAAAGGTCTTATATTTTGATACAGAGGGAGTACTATATAGTCTCAAGAGTGTGGCAACGGAATTCTCTTGCATATTTAGGCATGGATAATATTATGGGCACCATGTCGGCAAAATAGTCATGAATCTCAAGATGATGTGCTGACTTAGTCTCTCGAAGGTGCTCATATGGGTAGGGTATGTGTGCATGCATTCATAAGGGATAGTGTATATGTGTATGTATGAGTGTTTGAGTCTGTAATGTGTTTAATAAAAGTCGGCAAAATATTCATCATTTATAATACTATAAGTTCACATGATCTTATTCGAAATTAGGCTTTTGCCCTGCTTTACATAGCTGAACTATACAAGGTGATGACGTAGCCCTCGTACAACGTGAATCCTAGAATAATCAGATCACACAGGACACACGTGACTACACTATCTAAAGGAAGCACAAGAAGAATTGAGTACAACATCACGCCACGTCCTATAACACCTAAGCTCCACGACAAAGTCCCCAGGAGTGGGAACGACGCTAAGTATCGTTGTTGCAGAGTCCATAACAGACAAAGGTAATCATCTGGAACCCAGACACGTAGAGAATTACCACGACGATGTCTTCAAGAAGAGAGTGATGCCCGCAAGCATCGTCGTCGTCAGTGACAAAGTGAGGAGCTTTCGCTCGGCAGATCCCTTATGCCACCATGAGATCTCCAGGACAAGCGCGGAGAGTTCGGATCTCTATATCCGGATCGAGGTGCCACCACCGCTAGTGACACAGAGCACACCCGAGCCACACACTTCTCCACCTCTCATCGTCGACCCGACAAGAGTAAAAGCCACCACCACCGTATGTTTCCCACCAGAGAGACAACCATGCGGAACCGCCATTCGAGGTAGCTGCCCCGGCATCCATGTATGAGGCAACACTAACTGCCCACATCACGGTGCACCCACCACAGTAGGAGGGGTAAAACGTGTCTCCTTTCACTCCTAGCCTGGCATCAACAACAGAGGTTGGGTCGACGCCTCCACGGTAGGAGGTGCCCACGCTTGCGTCTCCGGCTAGTCCCGGTGGACTGGGGAAGACACAACCCCGTGACTACCGATGGTCTTTGCCGAGTGTGCTCACACACCGCCATGTCCATTGTCTTCGATACCGATTAACCCGACAGAGTAGCAGAGTCCCAACCACCAACACCACCAGCACCACCAACACACCCACGAAGAAAGGGATCTCATCACCCGCGGGCACCACCTAGACCGAGTCCACCATTGCCTACCCGGAGCGGGAGCTCCGACCCGACTCAGGTCCCCATCAAATCACCCCAAGCACGATCCCTAGGTCTTGTCCATCCCCGTCGAGCCGCCGGCCCGAGTCGCCGACCCAGACCCGGGAGAAAAGAGGAACCACTTCCACTTGCACTCCGCCACTGCCAAAGTTGTGGCAACCACGCCAACGACGAGTGCACTACCCCCACCACAAGCAGCATACGTTGCCCCATCCAAAACAAGGACGACCACGACGCCAGCCGATCAGCAACGATCCCCCTGCCACGCACCTGGGCCTCCCCGTCCACTCTGACCCTGCAAGATGCCTGTCGAGGAGCACCGCCACTCCCCGATGTCGTCTCACAGAGATGTAGCGCGCCTCACCAAGCCCCCGCCATCCTCCATCCAGACCGGGAGAATGGAGCGGAGGTTGCCTGGAGAACAGCCCGCCACCGCCATCACTAGAGCATGCCCGTGCTTCGCCCCGGCAATGAGACGAGGG